TGTCTTTCACTTGATGTAATGTTTTGCATTCTAATTACATTAGAAATCTGTCCCAAGACCGTTCAATCCACCCTCGCTGCAGCCAATCAATTGTTTTTCCAAGTTTTTCCCTCCATTTGCTAAGCAAACACGCAGCGACGCAGTCCAAAATCGTTTCCCCCAAGACGAAAGACGGAATAGTCTCTATTTTTTTTTTTTTGACAATCGATCGAATCCGAATCGGAAATAGCAAATGGAATAGAAAATAACAGAGCAGAGTGGAGGCCATAAATTGTGGTCTGGGCAGAGAGGACACGCAGCTGGCTAAGCTGCGGATCAGTCGCCAGAGTGGAGTCTTCGGCACGAGGCCAACACAGCCGGCGGAGAAGGTCTTAAAAGCTTCCACAAGTGGGCAGGGTGGGAGGTGTGATTGAATGTACCAGATATCCAGGGGGGAATTACTTAGCTAAATGGAAAGAGGAAGGAATCGGAGGAGGAGGCATCACTGTCACCTCCCTTTTTTAGTGGAATCTTTTGTCTATGCTTGATGAACCAGAAGTATAATACCGAATCCTTGCAGGTCACACGGCCTTGGGCAGTCCCAAGTACAGCTTTAGCACCCTGGAGTCTCGCAAATCCTCGACGGCGGGTCGCCAGCGTCAGCGTTTCGCCCGCAAGAGTTCCCTGCCGCTGGAGAATCCGGCCTGCAGCACTCCAGGCTCCACGGGCGGATCGGTGGGAACTGGCGGCATCCATGGCAGCAGCAGCCTGGGCATGGGTCTGGGCCTCTGTCGGGCGGAGAGCTTTCCCGTTCTCCTCGATTGCAGCCATGGTGCGGGCATCATTCTGTCTGAGTCGGGGTCCGCCGCTGGAGGATCGGGTGCTGTAGCCATTGCTCAGATTCTGGCGGACTCGGTGGCCGATCGCAGTGGTTGCATACAGGCGGGAGATCGCATCGTGGCAATCAACAAGATGTACAGCTTGGATGCGGCGGCCATGAGGCAACTGCTCGAGGGTGGATCCAGTCGCAATGGCGCGATCACTGGAACGCCAGCCAACTGGCTGGAGCTGGAGATCGAGTTCGATATGCCGGATGCCGTGGTGCCCGCCAGTGGTGTCTTCAGTGTCAAATTGCTGAGGGCCGGCAAATGTGGACTGGGTCTGAGTGTGAGTGGATCCAGCCATGGTGGTCTGGTCATTTCGGACGTGAAAATGGGTAGTCCTGCCCATCGCAGTGGCTCCCTGCGATCCGGGGACATCCTGCTGGCCGTGGACCAGCATCCAGTGCAGCATTTCAACGTGGACGCACTGCTCAAAGAGGAGGGCAGATCGCAGAATCCCAGCCACAACTCTTCGGACTTCACCACGCTGACGATCAAGCGGATCGTTCTGCCCGACTTCCTGCCCATGTCCAGTCCAATTTACAGCAATTGCCCGGCGAGTGGCATCAATTTGGGCATGGGAATGGGTGTGTCCACCAGCACGGATCACGATCTGTACAGCAGTGCCTACGTGACGGCGGGCAAGTATGCAGACTGTGTGTCCCTGAAATCGAGGACTCCGCAGCCGGATTACTTCCGAGTGCCCAGCATGGACGATGCCAGTCTGCAGTCCGTGCAGTTGCGATCTGGATCGGGTTCAAATGGAGGCAACCAGGCGGGCAACAGCTGGTCCACCGGGGTCAACAGCCGATCCTTTGTGGCCCCACCCAATACGCAGAGTCTGACCACCGAGCTGCCCGAGGAGGAGGACGAACAGGAGCAGATGTACCCCGGATACGAGCTCAATCGCTATGCCAGGTGAGTCCAAATCATATTTACAGGCTCGAAACATTACTGAATACGTATTATTTCACAGTGTTGACTGCACCGCCTTGCCGCCGCCCATGGAGAACAAGGTGTACGGATCGGCGGCCAGTTCGAGCAGCAAGAGTAGCGGGAGCAGCCTGCACCAGATCATCTTCACGGTGCGCTTGGAGCCCAAGGGAGGCTTGCTGGGCATCACTCTGGCCGGCAGCGAGGACATCACCAAGTCCATTACGATCAGTGGCCTCGTAGAGGGTGAGTCTACATACAAATGATACTATTATAAATATTGTTAACTAAAACATGTATAATGTCACAAACAGGCGGCATTGCCCACAAGAATGGCCAGATCCATGTGGGCGACCAGCTGCTGGCCATCGATGAGCACTCGGTGCAGGGCATGCCCCTTTCGCATGCCACCAGTCTGCTGCAGAATCTCGGCGACCTGGTCGACCTGAAGATCCTGCGCAGCCACGATCTGGCCAATGGCAGTCACCTGCCGCAGACGCAGGCCATCTACGCCAAGGTGCAGCGGCGTCCTCGGAGTCCCTCGGCCAATACGGAGGCCAGCAAGGAGTCGGGCAGCGGGAATGCCAACGGTGGCGGAGCAGCCAATGGGAATTCGGGCAATGGAAAGCCACGGGTGTTTCATGTCACCCTGTACAAGGACAAGGTGTACGATGACTATGGCTTCTCCGTTTCCGACGGGCTTTACGAGCGCGGCGTCTTCATCAACAGGATTCGCAGCGGAGGTCCTGCCGATATGTGCGGTCTCCTGAAGCCCTTCGATCGGATCATGCAGGTTGGTCTGAAGCTATCCTAAATGATATCTTTTCATACATGTCTGTTGCATTTATCCCTAGGTAAATGAGATGAAGACACAGGACTTTGACTGCTGCCTTACCGTTCCGCTGATCGCCGCCGCTGGCGATAAAATCGAGATGATCATGCAGCGCTCCGAGTGATCCTTTTGCCCGAGATCCTTATGTTAAACTAGTTGTATGCTAAGCTAATCCTAAGTGCCATTGCTAGCCCATAATATTATATTCTCTACCGAGCGAAACCTGCACACAAACAAAATGAAAACCCCCTACCGTCAAGGACAATTGGCGCAAAACAGTCTGCCAATAACCAAATAATGCCCTCTTTATGATAGATCTGCCATAATTCTACGTTAATTCTACGCTAAAATTTGTTTTCTAGCAAATAAACAATCGTACCGAAAGTTTGTTCCAAACTAAACACTCAAAACTATGAGTAACTCATTTGCCCTCAAAGATTAAACATTTCCAGCGTCTTGTCTATGTTTATATGACCTACATTCTTGAAGGTATGCCAAAATTGTGATTAGCACTTGGCTTAGGAAAACTATATAATAATATATGCAATGGAAATTATAGCTTACTATAAAATTATATTTTAAAGCGTGGCCTTGCAGTCTTCAGCTTCATTTCCCATCCATGTGAAATCCTTTCGTAATACCAATGCCTCTTTATACTTTATACTTTATACTTTGTACCCTGTAAAGCTATAGACCCCCGATCTGGCACTGATCTATGTAAACAACGATCCCCTTGGGGGCTTATGTCATTGAGAGCGATTGCAGCGATAGTTATTCAATATTCTCAATATTTTGCACTGCGTGTTCCGTTTTCAATTAGACAATCGGTGCGATCTATACGCCCCATGTAATTCACGTTGTAAACACAATGTTTTTACACTTGCAGGGCCAAGTGGGCGTGGCAGCGGCGGATCCGATGACGTTGGACCCTGTGCAGGGGAAGTATCAAAACAAACAGACGTCTGTGTTGATTTGCAATGCATGTGGATTTTTGAACCGGAATCCATTTTCGAAATCAAAGTTCGGTGCTTATCGGAAATCGGGGGCACCAGCTGTTGCAGCTATACGGAAGTAAAACCCCCTGAGTCAGAATCATCTAAATATAGATCGTATAGCTAGGGAGCAGTTATTATAGCGATTATGTGTATATTTACAGGGTATTCGGCTGGGTTTTCGAGAAAAGGGGGTATGCCGTCGGCGGTCAAAGGAAGTCGTAAACAAAAACGAGAATAAAGCAGACAGACTGCGGGTCATGATAACGCCTCTCTGACGTCAATGGGCAATATTCGAGATCCTGGTGGAGTGTCGAGCGGTCGGAAACCCGACTCGTAAACACCTTCTCCGGACTTTGGACGCCTCGAAAGCGAAACGGGATTCTGCGAGAATCACTGGCCGCTGATAACGTGTGCCAATGGGAACACCATACATACTCGTGTCTGTGTGCAAATATATTTGGTGCTGGCCAGACATGGACACCATCACCTGTCAGGGGCGTGGCAGCCGCACACAGTTTCCGCACAAAATCACTTGGCCTTCTACACGCAGAAAAATGGTGCAGAAATGGAGCAATAAACTAGGTGCGCCTTGCGGAAATCTGCAAACACTGGTTCTGCAAATATATGGATTTAAAAAATATAAAAATAACGACCTTTAAACAATGTAAAGATATACGGACGAGCAATGAAAGAGCCGCAAAGTTTGATATAGGCAGGGATCGTTATAAGTAGTATCTGCGCACAAGTATCTTTTTCTCTCCGTGCCGCATGGGCTGTGGAGCACAGCTGCTGATTGTCCAAGGGGGGCTGAGCCCCATCCACTAGTTCTGACCCACCGTGGGATCCTCCCCCGTGCCGCCCTCTTCCTGTAACAGATTGCTCAACGCCTCCAAGGCGGTCACTTTGTGGTCGTCGGCAGCGCGCATCGGCTTCCTTATCAAGAAGGTGCATCCAACAAAGAGCAGCTGGTGTACTTTGCATCTACACTGAGCGAAACGCTCGCCTTGTGCGCTATCAGCCGCTCAGGGCCTTTTCCTTTCCTCTCTTTGCCCCACTCTCCGCTGGAAGTCGCGTGCCGAAGCTCATTGGTCAGTGCTGGCCGTACAGCGTGAATACGACGTGGATTCCATAAAATAATATGTGTGATAAAGTACGGAAAAAGTGTTAAAATATAGTTATCCATATTTATGGGTATCTTCAGCATGTAATTAGCATGCCAGTTTAAGAGAGGCTGCCCAGGTCTTCCATCAACGGCTCAATGCACTTGACCTTTGGGAGGCGGACGTCCGCATGTCGGGAAATCGGCGGACCGGTCAGCACTGTCGCACCCACTTCATCGCTCGGTGGCTTCGGCTGCAGCTTCGGATGCAGCTATCTGATTTCGGCTACGGTTTCGATGTCTGGCGGCGTCCACGTCTTTATAAGAATTGCGTGGGGCGCAGCTGATCCGCTCAGTGCTGCGACGGTTCCCAAGCGACGCAGATCGGCGGAGATACATATATACCCGACTCATAGTCCCAGTCGGCGATAGTCAAAGTGGAGAACCGAAGGGCCTAACGGCACACTCGAGACGAGAGACAGTCGATAAGATTAACGTCAACTTAATTAAAAGCACGGAAAATAAAAGCCAGGCACCAAACAAACGATCCATCGATCGATCGATCGCATCGCAACTAGCCTTAGATAATAAATGGCCAACTCGAGTGGCACTCGTTCAAGTGATTTGTGATTGTGGCTCAGTTAAACGCAGACTAAAGCCCTGGGAAAAAAGTGTGTGACTCAGGTTGGCAAGTTTCCACATCCCCAAGATCCAAGGGATCGCATTCGACAGCGGAACCAGAACCAGATACAACAGCAGAATGTACGTGGCCAACACCACGGGCGGCCTAATGCTGCAGACCATGCTGTACTTGGCCAACCACACCAGTCGGGCGGCAGTCAACACCCTGGTGGACCTGCCACCAGCTCCCAAAAGTGGTAAGTAATCCGAGCCACGGCCCACTTTTGGGCACGTCGATTGCTCCATCCGGCGCAACTAGAACATGTCCATTGCAAGTGGCGTTTGAAATAGGCGTAGCTGAGGGATTTCTAGTATTGCCATAAAATCTATACCAAAATATTAGACTAACTTATTCAAAAAGAAATGTAATTGGATTTTGATTAAAATTCTACAAAATATCTACAAGAAGCACTCAAATTAGTAGTTCTTATGTATTATATAGTAGTTCTTATTATAACTCGAAATTTTGCGTGGTTATTAACGAATTGGGCGCGCTTGAGAGAGCTCAGTAATTGTAGCTATGGTTTTGGCCGCTGCTGTGCCAGTTGGGGGTCACCAAATCGGGGTTTCCTACGCCTTAAGTGGTTTCTCTAGCCGTGTGTGTGCCGCACAAACAGTTTTCGGATCTTTAGTGCTTCGAAATCCAAAGATGCTGAGTGCGGCTCCAGTGGCAAATGGGGAAAGCTCTTCCAAGAAGCCCGCGGCGATTGCGATCACCTGAGCGATGGAAGCACAGGTGGCAACTCGGCGTGCTTCGATTTGATTTGGAAATCAGGGTCCCAAAAGGCTAATGACGTGACTCCGTCCGGCGCGGTTTCCTACACATATCGTGCGTACATATATGTAGATATATGCAGATGCCTATTTAGTTGTTGGAGGGACGCGGCACACGCCTATCTAATCGAAAACTTCCGATACAAACGGAAAGCCAAAGAAGACCACGATGAAGTAAAGACGGCACTCCATGCACCGCTGGCCGAATAAATTTGAGTCTCTGGCCCAATACGAGCATGAAATACTTAATGGAAGATTAGGGGCATCTGTCATCTTGAAAATTGTCTACGATTTTTCATGGATCGTTAGTTCTAATTGAGATCTTGCAACAGGGCTAAGGAATTTTTCAAGCAGACAGCTACCAATTAAAAATTGCTTATTACGGCTGCATGTAGATTATTTCAAAGATTTCAGCCTGGGTGGTTTCAACTACAACTATATAAAACTAGTGATAAAATTCCAGCACGCCCGTTGATTTATAGAGCAATCATGCCACAACTAACCCACTGCTTTTCTCAATCCTCACCAGACATCAACGAGGTGAAATGCTTCGGCGTGTACGGCTGTTTTCCGATCAATGGGCCCTGGAACACGGTGACCCGTTCGATAAATGTGCATCCGCAGAAGCCATCGGAGATCGAGCCCCATTTCACGCTGCACACGCGAAGGGCACTGGACCAGCCGAAGTATCTGGATCTCAATGATCCGGATAGCATACAGGGCATGGGCATGGATCCCAAGGGCAAGATATTTCTGCTGGTCCATGGATACCTGGAGTCGGGTGAGATTCCCTGGATGTGGGACATGGCCAAGGCGCTGCTGGCCCACGAGCCCGAGGGTCGGGCGGCCGTGGTCCTAATCGACTGGGGCGGTGGCGCCAGTCCGCCCTATGTCCAGGCGGTTGCCAATATTCGGCTGGTGGGCGCCATCACCGCACATGTGGTGCACATGCTGTACGAGGAGTTGCGTCTGCCCAATCTGGACAATGTGCACATCATTGGCCACTCACTGGGTGCCCATCTGTCCGGCTATGCCGGCTATCATCTGCAGCACGACTTCGGACTGAAACCGGCCAGGATAACGGGTCTGGATCCGGCTGCTCCCCTCTTCACCGACACCGATCCCATCGTGCGGCTGGACAAGACGGATGCCCACTTCGTGGACATTGTGCACACGGATGCCAATCCCCTGATGAAGGGCGGACTGGGCATCAATATGCGGCTGGGCCATGTGGACTTCTTTCCCAACGGCGGATTCGATAATCCCGGCTGCAACAAGAAGTTCCAGGATGTGGTCAAGAAGAAGACGCTGTTCCTAACCATGCAGGAGTTCCTCGGCTGCAATCACATCCGCAGTCAGCAGTATTTCACGGAGAGCATCGGCTCGCAGTGTCCTTTCCTTGGAATAACCTGTGACTCCTTCGAGGTGGGTAACTTGAGCATTGTAAAGACATTTTTCCCTAATCAGCCCTTGAAATATGAAACTTAATGTGTAATACTCCTTCTTCCTCTTGCAGAGCTTCAAGGACACAAAGTGCACCAGCTGCGAGGAGCCGGGCCACACGTGCCTGCGAATGGGCTACCACAGCCAGGAGGACTACCAGGAGCAGGTGGATCTCGGCCAGCTGCAACAGGGCGATTCACCAGGAGTCTTCTACCTTTGGACGGGAGATAGCAAACCCTTCTGCCGACTGCACTACAGGATAACAGTGCGGGTTTCCGGACACGACGAGAGCACTCTGCACGGCGGCGAGGTGGGCATCCTGTCCATTCAGCTCCACGACGCCCTGGTGAAGAAGGCTGGCAAAAGGGAACGAGCTGCCACGGATATGATGAAGTTCTCCCAGAAGGCAATGTACTTTGAGCCCGGCTATGAATACAAGGCTTTGGTGGCCGGACGGAATCTCCGGCAGCCGGAATACGCGACTGTAAATTGGGAGTACCCCACCAGTATACTGAATCCACTCACCTGGCGCATCCTATCTGCGCCGCGTATCTACTTGGAGTACATCCTCATCGAGGTGATGGAGTCCAGTGACATATACCTAAAGTTGTGTCCTCAGCACGAAGGAGCCATTCTCACGGGCGCCGAAAATGTCCTGCGCTCCAGCTATTGCAAGGATTAATAATTACCTGTTTACTTAGCAACTTTGGTAGTTTATTGGCTAATTGATGATGATATTATCATTTCAATTAATTGATTAATTATCTACTAAATTCGGAATTGTTTGTTAGCTATATCGTTACTTAATTAGCTAATTAATTCTGAGTTTCTCTCATGTCTAATGATTAATTAGCTAATTAATTATGAAATTAGTTGGCACTTCCTCAGCACAAATGCTTTTTGTAGAAAAAGAATGCAAGCAGTGCAGGTTTGCGCCACCGCTAAGTTGTTTACACAACCAGAAGCGGCACAATGCTGCGTGTCTGTGCTATGGGAACAGACCGAAACACTGTTCCCAGTTTGACATTTATAGCAACTCGCTGAGGAGGAACAGTTTGTATTTTATTATAGTATTTTAATAGTTCGAAATGCGAATCAATCGTCAAACCGTTATTTATTGTATAAAATAATATTTTCCATACATTTTTTTTTGAGTTAAATCTATTTGTAGTCGTGTGTAGTGCACCAATATAGTCTAATTTAATGTAAATAAACATGCAAATTTTAAACATGCCATGCTCCATTTCCAGAACTAACTCTCATGTGATATAATCTGGGTTATTCAAATGAAGACCCACTTGTTGCGCCGAAAGCGCGACTTATGTGTAGGGAACTTCAAGTTTGATAATTGTGATAAAAAGGTTAAAGACAACACGACAAGCCCCCAGTTGGGGATCTGCCTGCCATAACTCAAATCAGCTGTGGATTCTAATGAATTATAAACACAAACACGAAACGCTGGAGACGGGGGACATTCCATGACATGGATCCCCGGTCTGTGTTGATGTTAATATTTTAAATGCTTATCGGGGCAAATGTATCTATCGCATGCATGTGTATCTTTTACATATAATTGATATTATCTGCATTGATTCGACTCGTTTTCAGCTTCGTTCGCTGCCGTCTCGATTTCGGTTTCGGTTTTGGTTTTGGTTTTCGTTTCTGTTTCTGTTTCTGTTTCTGTTTCTGTTTTGTTTTTGTTTTTGTTTGAGTTTCAGTTTAAGTTTCTGTTTCTGTTTCTGCGGCCGGCTCTTTGTTTTATGATCGAACATTTGGACATTCCAACGCTCTCCGGGCAGCCCCAAGCCTCGGATACTACACAGAAAAAAGTTCAAAGCTGTTGTCACACTAAAGACGCAGTCTTTTGAAAAAATTTGCGAAAAATGGCCAAAATTTAAGGTGTCCAGGTTGGGACGCCAATCGATTAGAAATTAAGTTACGAGCTCAACGAGGTATGACATTCCATATTTGGGTAATTCTTTGCGTTCTTATGGTTAAAATCCTGTATATTTTTTTTCTGAAAAAATAGACATGGAAATTTTGAAAAAAAATGTTTTTTTTTGGTTTTTTACCTATAACTTGGCCAAAATAAGTCGCACAACTAAAATAAACACTGTTCTGAGCAGTAAACAACACCAACTTTCGGAATAAATCACATTTTGGAGCCGTTTCAAAAATTAAATTTTTTCCAATTTTTCGCATTTTTGATAAGGGGTGAGGTCATCAAAATTTGCGAAAAATGGCCAAAATTTAAGGTGTCCAGGTTGGGACGCCAATCGATTAGAAATTAAGTTACGAGCTCAACGATGTATGACATTCCATATTCGGATAATTATTTGCGCTGTTGTGGTTAAAACACTGCATATTTTTTCGAAAAATACGCACATGGACATTTTTCAAAAAGCATGTTTTTTTATTTGGTTTTTTACCCATAACTTGGCCAAAATAAGTCGCACAACAAAAAGAAACACTGTTTTGAGCTATAAATAAGACAAACTTTCGAAAAAAACAATCTAAAGCGGTTTTAAAAATTACATTTTTTAAAATTTTTCGCATTTTTGAAAAGGGGTTGAACATCAAAATTTGCGATAAATGACAAAAATAAAAATGTTCCAGATTTAAATGCCAGTCGATGGGGCAACAAAATACGAGTTATGCCACTCAATATTTGGATCGATACTTTCCAAGTTGTGGCTATTGTTCAGCTGAGATATAAAGCATAGGTTCTGCAAAAGTACTTTGGTTTCAGTGTACTTTGGTTTCAGTCACAACCTCAAAGTGAACCTGGCCCATAAATATGTTGACAGAGACAGAGCGAACGACAGAGGGAGACGGCTGATGATCATGTTGACAATGTTTCGCCGGAGTTCATTTCATTCGTTTCTGGGAATTGAAATTGTTTGAAAACCTTTTCATGTTTTGACTTTCGTCGCTCCACCTGTATCCCCCATCCCCCTTTCCCCATCCCCACTGCCCACGATGTGTGCCCACTTATTCCCATGATATGCATTCATTAATAATGTTAATCGATTTGGGATAACCCTTCGATCTTGGCCACCGAATGTCCCGAAAATGTCACGGGAATTACAGCAGAGCAAATGGCCAAGTGCCTCCCCATTTCGTTGAATTTGTATTACTTTTTTCGGGTTGGCTGTAAACTGCAGCTGCAATCCATTAGCCATCCGCCTCTTAATTAGTTCACCTTGGCCCCGGCTTCCTTCCTAGATTTTCCTACTCCTTTGCTGGACCTATTTTTTACGTTTTATGATTTTCCCCACATTTTCCCCCGACTTGTGGCATAAATCAGACGAGTGCGCCGGCTGAGGGACATCAAATGGAGCTCGAGCCCAAATCAAAATGTCATAATTTCAACGGGGCAGCATCGGCGACAATACGTCAACATGCCCACCCTACGGATTTTCCAGATTTTCCAGATTCTCAACCCCTTCCATGCGGCTCCATCTAGATCCACCCACCCACTCTGTCATTTCGCCGTTTAATTAGTCGGCCGCGCCGGCGTCGCAAACAAATCACATAATTATGATTGAGCGCAGCCAGCGCCAAACTCTTTCGTATATATATTTCAAATTTTATTTTCCCACTTTTTTAGATGGGCGCTAAAAGGGGGAAATCGTTCGGAGTTCTCCCCTCCCCCCCTGCCCCCCTGCCCCCCTGCCCCGCTGCGGCGCATTTGGGGTTTCCTTTATGGGCCGTCAGAGACGCGTGCATAAATATAAATCAGGGCCGGCTCACAGCTGCCGTAATTGAATGCAAATGTCCATCCAAAAATACGATGGCTCTAAAGTGTTCGCCCCTACCACCCCCCACCGCTCGAAAATAAATCCGATGTAGCGTATGCACCCTGTAGGCGACAATCTGCTCTAAATTATCACGTGTAGGTGCCGCCCGTCGTATTTCCCCCGCTTTTCCTGCCTTTCCTGCGCTCCATTGTCTCTGCTGGCGATGCGTGGAAAACTAATTTCCCACTACCATCCCGCTGGCATTTTCCCGGTGCCATTCATCTTGTGCGTTTTTCTGATATTCATAATTCGTGGCGTGTGCGCCGAGTTCTCCCCCACTTCCCACTTTCCACTTCCCAATCCATTTACCAGCCTCGCAGGAGGAGGATTCCAAATGATGAGTCGTCTCCTTTTGTCAGCTGGCTAAATTGCACCACGTGTTTCTGATAATGACGACATAATTACGCCGCAAGTTGGATAAGCAGAGTTAGTGATTCGCAATTTTCACAAGCCAACTGATTAAAAAATCTATCTTTTCCTGCGATGCGTAAGTGATGTTAAGTAATCGCTTAATGTGCTTTAAGCAAGCAGTCAAAAATATTGAATATATGCTTAAAACAAGTTGAGTCAAAGTTGACTAACCCCAACTAGTGTGTCAACCCTCGCAGATCTAAGCAAACGGAATGTCGAAATGCAAACGACAAGCGAAAACAAAAGGCGCAAAAGGATAATGGATGGTGGGGTTGGGCGAAGGAGCAGGAGAGCAGAAACCGCCCGCGGTCACTTAGAGCACTAATTTAAATATCATTAGTGAACAATTAAAACAAAGAAATGCCATTCGAAGCCATGCGACAAAGCCAGCAAACGCAATCCAAAAAAAACACAGAAGCCGAAGAACCAGGACAATGCGACGCCATCGCAGGCCGCCTGTCACCGCCCACGAGCCGCCTGGGGGCGTGGCAGGACTCGGCGGAGGATGCAGGAGTCAGGAGCTGCGAAAACTGGAGGGCGGGTGCGCATAAATGTCAACAAGAAAACAACAAAGGAACAAACTGGCACGCCATGACTCGCCGGATTCGAATACCAGATATCCTGTTTACAATAAAATTCCATTGTCATATTCCCAATTATATGTTATGTTGCAGCTAGGAAAACGCATGTGACTGACTAGTTCCAATCAATTTTGACACATTTCATAGATTTGCCAATCCATCAGAAGCATGCCCCAAATTGCCAGGGTATCTGTTATCTGCGTACAAGCCAGCGGGGCGACAATATTTTGTTGTGGCTTTGCCAAAGTTGTGACAGCGCCACCAAATGAAAAGGCCGCCTTGGAGCGGGATGATTGTGGGGGCTTGGGAATGGCCATGTGAATGTGCAGGTGCTGCGTCACGGATCCTGGTACTTGGTGCTTGGTGCTTGGTGATGGCCTCTCCAATATCATTTGTCAGCAGGGCAATGGGAGCGTGCCTTATCGATGCGAGGCAACTGGCACATGGTCCTCCACCCACCAAGTAAATGAAAGGAGAGGAAAACAGGCAGTCACGTGGCCACCCGCTGGCGGCCAAGTGCGCATCCTGCGGAGGATTGGCCTGCGGACTCGGATTCCGCTTCGGTCACCTGATGATGCTTTTCCCAGGAGCAGGAGCAGAACCAGAAGCAGGACCAGGAGCAGGAGCAGGAGCAGAGCCACCCACTCGAGGGTTAGTGGCACAGGGGTTACTGGTGGTGATGGAGGGCCGCGTAACATGATCCCTGCGTGCCTCGGCATAATTTGTTATTTTTGGCCCACGCATTATTATATCCTGGGCATATCCTTGGACGCGAATCGCTCCGGCCAACTGGCTCTTTGTGCTGCTGACGCTGATTATTTCCCCTCTCGTTTAGAGACACCTTTTGTCGACGCGTCCACCGAAGAAAATATCGATTACATTTGCCGAAAGTTTTCGTTCCGCAAAAAATATAGCAGCAAAAACACAAACAAACGGAGAAATAATAAGTAAGGCGAAGGGACAAAGGAACCCAGAACAAAGCGGCCAAACCACTCGATGGTTGCGTGGATCCAGCCCCCGCCAGAAAATAACCATAAATAAGGGTAATAAAAGTGATGCTCAGTTGTCGCTGCAGCTTCCCAGCAGCTGCATCTTCCCAGCCTCAGATGCGAAGATTCCGAGCCAGAGCCAGATCCAGATCCAGATATGTCGCCGCTTGCAAATAAATATTCGGCACTGCCCATAATCATAACACTAACTCAGCCGCAGATCGAACCAATGAGATCTTGGCCTTGGCTTAAATGGCCTCATTTAAGTATATGCATATCAGTTAGGTTGGAAGTACCAGTGCTTCTAGCAAGTTTCTGTGGCACCAAACATAATGACAGATCTGAAATACCGCTCTCTTGAAATTGGAAGGGAAAACAATACTAGGAGTGTTGCCTTTGGCTATCCTTGCATTTATTCAAGCATTGTTTTACTCAAGCGAGCTGGGATTATGTTGTACTGGCAACAAACTGTGGATAATCGTGGCAAATGTTAGGCATCGCATAATAGACATCGACATGTGTGGGTATGTAAGTGGTAAAAAACAATGTAAAGTGGGACTTGGAACGATCCATGGAAACTGTCTCCCTGTTTTCTCATCTTTTTTGCAATATATGTTTATTATATTTTTGTGTTCGTTTTGCTTTGATCTAGGATCTGTCGAGTGCGCAGCCCCCGTGGAAAAGGAGCCGCCCGGTCAAATGCTCTTTTCCTCTGGCCATTTCTCGATTTCTCGATTCCATCCGGACTTGCGAGCCGGCGAGTCCATTGTTCGCCGCCCAAACAAAGGACGCGTCGTGAGCGTCGAGGGGCGAGTTATTAAAAACAATATTCGAGGCTTAGCCGGAACGCCTGGATGGGCAGATTATATCTCGCATCGAGTTGAGTCGAGTTGAGTCGAGTGGGGAGTGGACTTATCTCGCATCTTCGCATTAACACTTTCGCACACGCACACACACACGGTCACACACACACTCACTCACTCACACAGGCACACGGACATGGCACAAAATGGCCGCCAAGGAGCTGTATTCATGCGTATGTATGTATCTCAATCTTGCACATGTATCTGCAATCTCCGGCTGGCCTGGCACCTCAAACACAACACTCCCCCACGTTCGATGGGTCGATATTTGCGTGACTGCAGCAAGAAGTTGGCTAAATTAGTGGGTTAAATTAGTTGGTTGAATTAGTTGGTTCAACAATGTGTGAATAGCGCAAGAGAATCCAAGCTAACGACTGGAAGTTAATAATAATAATAACCTGGCCAAAAGCAGTCATCGCCATTATCGACCCAACGTGACCCCTCGACCCCTTACAACTTCTCAAAGGCGTTGGCGTTGGTGAGCAGTTCGCGGGTCAACCGCCACACCTGCTTGGCCGCCTGCTCCAAAGCACTGGGCGACTTGCCCTTGAAGAGATCCAGTGCGGGCAGGAAGTAGTGGGGACAGCGGCGGTACTGCAGGCAGGATATCAGCTGCAGGAATATGCCATTGATGCGGTCGGCGATGCAACTCTCGTCCCACTCAAAGTCCCGCGGATGCTTCTCGCACTCGTAGAGCAGCAGGTTCTTCAGGTGGTACGCACTGATGGGATTGCCCGGTAGCTCCAGATGCCTGTCCCGCAGGGTCTTCAGCATGCTCAGACAGCGCCGGCGACAGCCACCTGGAAGGAGGCCAATGTACTACCAAGTCCGGGACTTAAGGTATCTGCAAGATGTGTACCTTGCAGCAGGCGGTTTTCGGCCTCGAAGAAGCTGAGGATCCAGGCATCGCCCTCCATGCTGGCGGCATTGTTGTTCTTGCTCTGCATGACGACGCTCTCCTTGGACAGAAGGTCGAATCCCTCCGTCTTGACCTCCGCCACGATGTTGGGATGTGGCCACGGCAGATGTGGAACCGGCCAGTGGGCTGCCGATCTTGGCCAGATGCCGGAGCACTTGAAGGCCGGCGTGATCTGCACCACGAATCGCTCCCGGATGCGCAGCTTCACCTCGCTGGTGTCGCCCACCATCTTGACCATGTCGCGGTAGACACTCTTGTCGCAGGCCTGCGCCACCAGCGTCTGGAAACGGGCACGGATCTTCCGCGAGGACAGGTATCCACTGGCCGTGATGAACTCCACCCACAGGGACATGGACCGCTTCCTTCCATCGCTCAGCTTCAAAACAGCGCAGCCCGGCAAGGTGCCATCGTCCACGAAGTTGAAGACTCCCATTTGGTTCAGATACAGCACTATCTCGAATTCGTTTGGAGCTATCACCTCCACGCCCTCGAATCTGTAAGAGAATGAATCTGTGATTCTATGATTCTATATATTTTGTATATTTTATATATAGTGGTGGAAGCTACTCCTTTCTGGCGGCGAAATCCGATGAGCATGACTTGACAGTCAACTGACAATGACTCCGCACTTTGGTTGTAATGATCGCAATGGAGTGAAGAGGATCGGATTGGATGCAATGGAGTGGAACCACTGGAGTGAGTAGTAGCCGCGATGACAGCCATCCGGTCACCGGAATTACCCAGATATCTGGTTGGAGGCTCTGCGGTTGGGAGCACTAAACAGCTCTGATCGGATGAGCAGCTCTCGCTTTAATTAGCCCACTTATTCATACCCGATATATCGTTACTCAAGTGAAAAGATACTGAGATACTTAGATACCTGCCATTGCTTACCTGCCATTGCACTCGACGAGGCTGGAGATGAACCGCGGCTCCTGCAGCTCCACCTCCTTGAGGATGTCCTGGACGATCTTGCAGATCTCCCGGATGGCGGTGGCCGTCTTGAACATTCTGGCCTGCACCCTCTCCGCACAGAATCGGTTCATCTGGTAGACCATGCGCGTCTGGGCGGCCATCATGTCCGGCGGCACCAGCATGGTGCTCAGCTGCAGCTCGGCTCGATCTGTAGATGTATCTCTTGGCGGCGACACTTGGTCTGGCGGCCAACTTAAAAGCCAGCCAATTATGCGAAATTCGGCAGCGGGTCTCTTTCTGGACGGGACAGAACAAAGGAACAATTCAATTGTGAGTTACGGTGACAGCAGAACCAACAATGGGCACAAGTGGAGCACGACGACGACGATGACCGTGGTGTACGAGTGTGTATATGCGGATTCGAGCTCTTGGCTCCGCGATTTGGTAGCTGCTGCCCGCAGATACAGTATCTGCATTGGCGAATTGCGGGCCGAATGATGTGCTGCGCTTAAGAGCGATACCCCAGCCAGATGCCGCTTTCGAGTACGAATCGGAGTCCGCCAAGCGATACTGATACCGATACCGAAGTCGCGGCTGGCTGGCGTTGTAAATCTCGCGGATATTTACAGCTTCGGGCAGATAAAATGAAAAAAAGCGCTGAAAGTGCAGCTTGGCGCGGCTGCAGCGGTGTATCTCAATAGCCAGCCCCGTATCGGGGTATCTAACAAATCCGCCATCTCGGTGGCAGTGCGGCATGAATGGGACGCACAGGCTCGGATACACACAGCTGCACACACAGAGATACAGATACATGTCGGTGCTGTCACGTGACAGGGTCTCTGTCTCGTGCCACGCATTCCGACGCTTTAAAAATCGATGAGATACTCGCCACAGGCCGCGCGTATCTGTCGTATCTGCCAGATGCACTGCGACACAAGTCTAGATGCCTACACTATCAATAGATACACTTGCAAGATTACTTGGCTGTTAAAGCAGTAGCCACTTTTTGCTATCACTTTACAAGGCGAATAGTTCGTTTATTTTATTTAAAATTATTCCTTACTCGCTCACAACATAATTTTTCTGCGTGTACTGAAAACAAATACGCTCTCTGTCTCTCCGCGCTGTATGCGTATGGGTGTATCTATGGGGTTGCCTGCTTGTGTATCTGTGAGAGCGGCGCGATGCCATTGGTCCGCCGAGGCCACGCCCCCCTTGGTGGCCGCTACGCTGCGGCGCCCACTTTGAAGTCCGGCGCGCCTCAGTGTGTGTATCTGTGTGTAAATTTAATTTGTTAAATACATTTCGGCCTGCCATCGCGTACAAGTTGTGTGCAATAATTTATCTGAAATGTGCACTCATTTAGCAAAGAGCAGCGAGCAGCGAGCAGCGAGCAACGAGCAACCCTCGTCCATGTCCCACGTTCGCCGGCCGATATCTTTATATCTCGCATCTCGCGGATACACAGATACATTTACACTCATAAATATGTCGCGTGGATTAATGTGCCAGTTGGCAATTTCTGACAGCCCTCTCAGTTCCAAGCGAGCAACTTCCTCCGGCTTCGGCTTCCCCTCCCATTCAGTACGTCTTATATACCACATAATGTACACGGTGCATATGTACATGGAGCACTTGATGGACATGTGGCAAGATCAAAGCGCCCGTCGCCTCCTCCAATTAGACAAATCCCAGACGCAGCCACTAATTCGAGTGGAGGCAAAACACAAACCGAACACAATTGCCGACGACCAGCGGCATTTTCGCAGAAGGAAGTGAACAAAGGGGTCAAGCATCCCATGGTGCATCTAAATGGAAGTATCTGATCCGCCAAATGAGTATCTGCAAGGTGTGGATACAACATGCTCGAGATGGAAAAGATGCAGTGAACTGCAAGCTTTATAAAGCGTATAAACAGGGAAATAGAATCAAAATTACCTTGAAAAGCATATATCGAGTTTGATCAATCGATTTGACCACTTAGCGAAGGCCCACTGTGGCTGTTAGGTCTTTTGTTCGGCTGTATTGGCATCAATCAGTGGCAGTTTGAGCAGATCTGGCCGTATCTAAATAGTATTCAGCCCATTCCAATTTGTTTGGGAACGTGAATCGTAGCTGTCAGGCGGACTTTAATGGAGCCCCAATGAATGGGGATGCGATTGGATGGGATACCATTTTATAGAACGGCGATGCCAGGTGCTCCTCGCCACTCCATGGCATTTGGCTGATTTTTGGCGCGCTGGATTTCCACGTAACCGGATAGATGGAGGTGGCACTGGAACTCCTATCTAGATGCGCGCATATCTGCATAAATTTCAACAAGCGGAGGAAACTAAAACAAAAAGGGCCACAGCCAGGAGAACTACACGGTTGTTTTTTCTTTTCAGTTCTTTTTTTCAGTTTTTGGTCTGCAGACCCAGGATCGTGGGTCTCGGGGTCGCCGACCATTCGTGTGGATTCATGTGGCATGTGTGTGTTTTTCCCGTATTTTATATATCTCTTAGATCTCAAAGAAATTTGAATATAATTTATGTGCAATCGTCGCTTTTTTTCGGTTGCTCACTGACCGACCGCCTGTTCTAGAGGTCCGGTTCGGTTCGGCTCGGCTCGGTTCACTTCTCGTTCCCCCGAAATGAAGAACGATCCATCCATCTAAACGTTTGTCACTTGCTCCGTTGTCGCCGCCACGTTTGTCTTCTTGCTGCTCCGCCAGCTCTGCTCCTTCGTCGCCGCGTCATCGTCTCTTTTGTCTTGGTGCCCCTGTCCCATCTTAGGCCATCCCGATCCGATCCGATCCGATCCGATTGGATCCCATCCGACTCCGTTCCGATGTGTATTCCTCCGGCACATAGGCGCAATCAGGCTGTCCAGCTGAGCTGGGCCCTCCAATTCCGGGAAATAGCGAGCCGATTTATAAGATCATGTATCTAGATCTTAGAAAGTTGTGCTGCCAGCTAGTCAGTAGATACTTTACCTTTTAGATTGTACTACCTAGGCTTTACTGATATTTCTAGCTTCCATGACTTCTCACATATCTCATGGATACAAAGCTGTTGGGCAGATACCAAGTAACAGCTGGTAAATTGAGACCACAGTGCGTCTGATATTCGTACCTCAAAGCACTTTGTAATTCCCAATTTGTTCAGAGGCTTTGGCCATTGGGCGTCGATGCCATTCCCATCGCATGTCGACGCAAAGCAGGAACGTGTGATGAATTAATAAGCAGCCAATCCACTCCTGACTGCAAGTGCTCCTGCGCCCCCTCGATCCTCCAGCTCCTTCCGCTCCGATCCTCCAGCTCCTCCATCGCGCTGCAATGCTAAGCGGATTTGCGTTTATGGCCATTAACCCGGCGCTGGTGCGTGTGTGGTGCTACTTGTTGATCCGCATTGGAGGATCGGGGATGGGACAGATGGAGCAGGGCGGAGATCGCCGATCGGGGAGCTTCAGTTGCTGACGGACCGGCGCTTTTTGCTCAAGTCCGTCTGACATTTGACTACTTTATTGAATTATGACAGCGAACAAATCAGCGACACGATCCGCCAGTGAAGAGTGCATCCTCTCATCATCGATTCTCCATACCATGCCCGTAAAGCCCATTTGGTTCGCTTTTTTTTTTCCCCTCCACTCATTGCGCATGCGCCACTGCCGCCCAAGGTCCAAACCCACTACTGCACTGGGCGAAAAACCAGGTACTTTCTTCTTTCAATTTGGCGGCTAGTAGGGCTCATTTCAAAAGATTGTATAATATAATAGTATTATGTATTGATTTTCTATGTTGGTTAATGGTTCTCTACTCTATATAATACGATTACTGATTATTTTCTATATTGGTTAATGGTTTTCTAGTATTAAACGCTTTGTTAATAATGGCAATTTCCACCTGTTCCCTTTTCCCACAGTGTGCAATCCATCGCCTTGTGGACTGAAGGCTCGACATCGCCTACTCGCGGACATGTGTTCCTTCATCATCTGATTGGAATATTAATTGTGACGAATGCAGCCGAGTTCTTTTTTTCTCCACCAGCCATCCAACGATCTGGTGGACAAGTGCACGCCAGTTGGGCCAACTGGATCGAGCTGAAGAGGCCCACTGATGTCATTTTACTTAACATTAATTTCAAATAATATCATAATTTATCGTTACAACGCAGGCATTGGTGCTGGCCACTCTGGGCAACTCCGTATCCGAATCCGAGTCCGAATGCGATTCTCATTTCAGACACGTACCGCGGAATCGATCTCAATTTCGTAGTTCAGATATCACGCGCACACAGAGGCCGAAAATGCGGCCACGTTCTCGTCCCTTCAAAGGGGCAGGGCCCTTTTCCTTTCCACTTGGCCAGATTGGATGGCCAATATACTCGTACTCGTATACGCGTATGCGAGGCGGCGGCCCTTTTCAAGATGCCACGATCACGTTGACATTTTCGCCTGGACGCGGCAGTTGCCCCACTAGATACACCACGCCGATTCCCCAGATCGCCGTCTCCATTTCCATTTCGATCCATGATCCCCATCCCGATCCCCCGGAACCCCACGACTGTTGACATGTCGCGGCCTGTGATTGATTTAGGGCCGTTTTTTCCTTTTCCGCTGAAGCGCAGCCTTTTGAACCCATTGTTTTTGGCCCAAAAACAAAGAAAATCTGAAAAAAAAAAGAAAAAAAAAAAAAGAAAAAAAAAAAAAAGAAAAAAAAAAAACGAATCAAAAGGGCGTATGACGATGCCAAACCGACGACGTGAGCTGCCGTCTTTGAGAACTGGTATCGGTATATGGTAACTTGGGTCTCCTTGGTACTCCTTCTGCTTTCTGGGGACCCCGCTCATGTTAATTGATAGCGCGGATTAGTTGGATCGATAAGTGCAATGCCGTTGATATGATTTCCACGAATTGTTCGCCCGTTGCCCATTTGAATTATGAGAAGCGAGGTATAGATTTCCCAGGGCGACTTTTCCAAACCACCGTTTGGTTTTTCGCTTTCGGTTGCCACTCCGATCTGCTTCACCATCACCTGTAAGTGCAAGACGCGAGGCTCAGGTGAAATTTATCAGCCACAATGGGAGGAGTTCCTGCAGCAAGTCCTCCACTTGCACTCCGGCTGGGGAGGCTGCCCCGGAGGCAACTCAGCTCACTGGCTGACTCGACTCCTCGCTCCCTCGGATGTATTAAATTAATATTTGCTTTTTGTCAAAAGGCTATAA